GTTTTGCTTTTATTGAAGCAATACACGCCCAGGAGAAAGGCCGGGCTGCTGATGGGATGTCCAAAAAAATGCTTTCATTTTATTCTTTCAGCGGACAGAGGAGGAGGAGGAGGCGTCTTTGTCTGCCCGCTAGTCTGGGCCACGATGGTGGCGTCACGCGGCTCGGTGTGCCGCGTCTCCACGGCCGCTGGCAGGCGTGCTGGCTCGGCTCGTTGACGACGAAGGTCGCGTGCACGACGAGCCGAGTTCTCAGTCATAAAATGCGTGACGGTACTGATCGGGCGGAGACATGGTCACCTCGCTCACAACGATGTCTGCACCACGCTTCGCGACTCATATCAACCATTCCTAGACACCCCCCCCCCTTCCCCCAGTGGCAGCTGTCCCTGTGCGGCATAAGGTGACGCAGCACCTGGTCAGTCGGGGTCGGGGGGGGGCGTGGATTCGAACCGAGACGCCGGCACACAATGGCCTGCTTGTTTCGAATGACGTCACGTCCGGATCTTTAACGTCCTCTCTGGACCCGGTTGTCCAAATGTTCACGGTTAATTCAACACACGGCAGTATTAACCAGAGCGGCATTCTGCAATTGAACCGCGAATCTCTGCAAGGAACAGTGGTGAACGCGCTACTCACTGTGTTGGGATGTACTCACTGTGTTGGGACGCACTCACTGTTGTTGGGATGTTATCAGTGTTGGGATGTACTCACTGTGTGGGATGTACTCACTGTGTTGGGACGCACTCAGTGTGTTGGGATGTACTCACTGTGTGGGATGTACTCACTGTGTTGGGATGGCACTCACTGTGTTGGGATGCACTCAGTGTGTTGGGATGCACTCAATCTGTTTGGGATGCACTCACTGTGTTGGGATGTACTCACTGTGTTGGATGTACTCACTGTGGCTGGGATGTACTCACTGTGTTGGGATGTACTCACTGTGTTGGGACGCACTCAGTGTGTTGGGATGTACTCACTGTGTTGGGATGTACTCACTGTGTTGGGATGCACTCACTGTGTTGGGATGTACTCACTGTGTTGGGATGCACTCACTGTGTTGGGATGCACTCAGTGTGTTGGGATGCACTCACTGTGTTGGGATGTACTCAGTGTTGGGATGCACTCACTCTGTTGGGATGCACTCACTCTGTTTGGATGCACTCACTGTGTTGGGATGCACTCAGTGTGTTGGGATGCACTCACTCTGTTGGGATGCACTCAGTGTGTTGGGATGCACTCACTCTGTTGGGATGCACTCAGTGTGTTGGGATGCACTCACTGTGTTGGGATGCACTCACTCTGTTGGGATGCACTCAGTGTGTTGGGATGCACTCACTGTGTTGGGATGCACTCAGTGTGTTGGGATGCACTCAGTGTGTTGGGATGCACTCACTGTGTTGGGATGCACTCAGTGTGTTGTAGCGTTTGAAGGCGCTGAGCAGAAACAGTAGTGTTGATTTAATGGAGCAAAGCAGTCGTGGCTCTCTGTCCGTGTGAGTCAATGGCTCTCCGTTGGAGTGAGTCTACGGCTCTCCATGTGAGTCTCCGGTAGCGACAGAGGCAGTCAAAGGCGGAGGAAGAGGAGAAGAGGACGGACGGGAGCTTGGACTCGAGCAGCAGCAGCAGCAGCACGAAGTCGACAGCACGGACGGCCGTGGTGGGGGGGGGGCTCCAAAGCGAAGAATGAGCGACCTCCCACTGAGCGAAGGTGGCTCGGTGCACCCTTGCCCCAGTCAGCGGGCCCGAGATAAGCCTTGTCCAGGGCAAAGTTCACCCTGAGCGCAGAGAGAGGGGAAGGGGCCGGAGTCGCCCGGCCTGGCAGGGATCCTGGAGGCCGCCTCCGTGCCCCCCCCCACCCCCAGGGTCGCGTTGCCATTGCGCAGTGATTTGTCATCATCGCCAGCCTAGTCGGCCATGCTCAATCCACTGCACGACTGAACATCAGTGATTCAGTTCGTGAATAAATAACGCGTTCCGTTTATTTACCCCGGGGAAAACGTCACTGAGGATCAAGATTCGTTTTTCAGGAGAGGTGGTGGCGCTGTCGCTGCGATGTTTCACGATTTCTATTCGTGATGAGCGTTTGGTTTCTTGTGTGCGGAGCTGGTGGAGCGGGGGGAAGCGAAGACCCCGGGGGGGGGGGGGGACCCCCAAAACAATACGTACGAGAGGACGGGTGACAAAGCTCCCTGCACAGATGGATTCAAGAATCCCCTGGCCGTCTCGCAGCCTGGATGTTTCACTCCTGTATGTAAATCGGGTGAATGAAAGCTTCGGCTTCGTGTGGGAGGAAACCCGAGCGGCGGAACAACGCCCGCTCCCTCCTCCAGCACGCACCTACCCCCACTCACCTACCCCCACTCACCTACCCCCACTCACCTACCACCTCACCTACACCACTCACCTACCCACACTCACCTACCCCCCCCCACCTACACCACCTACCACCACTCACCTACCCCCACTCACCTACCCCCACACACACCTACACTCACCTACCCCCACTCACCTACCCCACTTACCTACCCCCACACAACACCTACACTCACCTACCCCACTCACCACCCCCACTCACCTACCCCCACTCACCTACCACCATCACCTACCTCCACTCACCTACCCCAACACACACCTACACTAACCTACCACCACTCACCTACACCCACTCACCTACCCCCACTAACCTACCACCACTCACCTACCCCCACTCACCTACACCCCACTCACCTACTCCCACTCAACCTACCACCACTCACCTATCCCCACTCACACACCTACACTCACTACCCCCACTTCACACACCTACACTCACTTACCACCACTCACCTACCCCACACTCACCTACCCCCACTCACACACTTACACTCACGTTACCACCACTCACCTACACCCACTCACCTACCCCCACTAACCTACCACCACTCACCTACACCTACTCACCTACCCCCACTCACCTACCCCCCACTCACATACCTACAGAGAGGGAAACAAGTATTTGATCCCCTGCTGATTTTGTACGTTTGCCCACTGACAAGGAAATTATCAGTCTATAATTTTAATGGTAGGTTTATTTGAACAGTGAGAGACAGAATAACAACAAAAACATCCAGAAAAACGCATGTCAAAAATGTTAAAATTGATTTGCATTTAATGAGGGAAATAAGTATTTGACCCCCTCTCAATCAAAAAGATTTCTGGCTCCCAGGTGTCTTTTATACAGGTAACGAACTGAGATTAGGAGCACACTCTTAAAGGGAGTGCTCCTAATCGCAGCTTGTGACCTGTATAAAAGACACCTGTTTACAGAAGCAATCAATCAGATTCCAAACTCTCCACCATGGCCAAGACCAAAGAGTTCTCCAAGGATGTCAGGGAAAAGATTGTAAACCTACACAAGGCCTGGAATGGGCTACAAGACCATTGCCAAGCAGCTTGGTGAGAAGGTGACAACAATTGGTGCGATTATTCGCAAATGGAAGAAACACAAAAGAACTGGTCAATCTCCCTCGGCCTGGGGCTCCATGGCAAGAATCTCACCTCGTGGAGTTGCAATGATCATGAGAACGGTGAGGAATCAGCCAGAAATACACGGGAGGATCTTGTCAATGATCTCAGGCAGCTGGGACCATAGTCACCAAGAAAACAATTGGTAACACACTATGCCGTGAAGGACTGAAATCCTGCAGCGTCCGCAAGGTCCCCTGCTCAAGAAAGCACATATACATGCCCGTCTGAAGTTTGCCAATGAACATCTGAATGATTCAGAGGACAACTGGGTGAAAGTGTTGTGGTCAGATGAGATCAAAATGGAGCTCTTTGGAATCAACTCAACTCGCCGTGTTGGAGGAGGAGGAATGCTGCCTATGACCCCAAGAACACCATCCCCACCGTCAAACATGGAGGTGGAAACAATATGCTCTTGGGGGTGGTTTTTCAGTTAAGGGGAAGGACAGCTTCACCGCATCAAAGGGACGATGGACGGGGCCATGTACCGTCAAATCTTGGGTGAGAACCTCCTTCCCTCAGCCAAGGCATTGAAAATGGGTCGTGGATGGGTATTCCAGCATGACAATGACCCAAAACACACGGCCAAGGCAACAAAGGAGTGGCTCAAGAAGAAGCACATTAAGGTCCTGGAGTGGCCTAGCCAGTCTCCAGACCTTAATCCCATAGAAAATCTGTGGAGGGAGCTGAAGGTTCGAGTTGCCAAACGTCAACCTCGAAACCTTAATGACTTGGAGATCTGCAAAGAGGAGTGGGACAAAATCCCTCCTGAGGTGTGTGCAAACCTGGTGGCCAACTACAAGAAACGTCTGACCTCTGTGATTGCCAACAAGGGTTTTGCCACCAAGTACTAAGTCATGTTTTGCAGAGGGGTCAAATACTTATTTCCCTCATTAAAATACAAATCAATTTATAACATTTTTGACATGCGTTTTCTGGATTTTGTTGTTGTTATTCTGTCTCTCACTGTTCAAATAAACCTACCATTAAAATTATAGACTGATAATTTCTTTGTCAGTGGGCAAACGTACAAAATCAGCATGGGATCAAATACTTTTTCCCCTCACTGTACACTCACACACCTACACTCACCTACCTCCACTCACCTATACCCACTCACCTACCCCCACTCACCTACCACCACTCACCTACACCCACTCACCTACCCCCACTCACACACCTACACTCACACACCTACTCTCACCTACCCCCACTCGTCTACCCCCACTCACCTACCCCCAACTCATCTACCCCCACTCACATACCCCCACTTATCCCCCCTCCCTCCCCCGAGGGCTTCACTCTGTTCTACCTGGCGCTGGGGACGTGGGAAGCCGCGGGCCATGGACCCGTGACGGCAGCTGAACTCACCTGGGCGCCAAACCCCGCCCTTCACCCCCCCCTTCCCCCGCACCGCCCCTCCCCCCCGTCTTCCCCCCTTCTTCTCAGGTGCGGAAGCACCAGCACCACCACCAGCACCACCACCACCGCCAGCCATGGTCACTCTCCTGCAAGCGGTGCACTGCGCGTGCCTGGAGTGCGTGCGGGCGCCACCGCTCTGGGAGACGGCGGGAGTAGGCGGAGTCGCGGGGAACGGGAGGAGTTTGCGGGGAGCAGCGGGGAGCAGGAGGAGTCGCGGGGAGCAGGAGGAGCAGCGGGGAGCAGGAGGAGCAGCGGGGAGCAGGAGGAGCAGCGGGAGCAGGAGGAGCAGCGGGGAGCAGGAGGAGCAGCGGGGAGCAGGAGGAGCAGCGGGGAGCAGGAGGAGCAGCGGGAGCAGGAGGAGCAGCGGGGAGCGAGGGGGAGACGCGGGCGTAGGTCTCCCGCCATCCACTGTAGCTCCGTGGACACCGCGACACCCCGAGACCCGCTCTCGTGAACCCCCTATACTGACCCCCTTTGCTGAACCTCTGACCCTGAGCCCTCCTGGCCGCAATGGCGCCTCGCATCCCCTCCTCCTCGTCTCCCTCCTCATCGGCTTCGCCTTCACGGCTGCATCGGCAGTTCCGCTGGTGCCGCCACCGCCCTTCTCTACACGCGCGCCTCCAGCCTCCTCCTACTCATCGTCTTCTTCCTCCTCTCCTTGTTCTACCTGCTCGCCTCCCGCGACGGACCCTGGGACCCCCACGCGGGAAGGCGCCACACGGGGGTCCCTACGCCCGGGACCGAGGCCCCCCGCGGGGCTCCTGCGGGGGGGCTGCCGGACCTGCGGGAGGAAGACCCCGCGCTGCGTCCTCCCCTGCGCGGCCATCGTCAGTGGCGACGAGAGCGCCGTGGAGGAAGCGAAGCGCCTGGTGAGCGCCGGGGGGTGGTGGGGGGGGGGGAGTCTGCAGGTAACGAGCGGGAGATCCAGGTGAGGTGAGAGGGAACAGGGGGCTCCAGGTGAAGTGGGTTCCAGGTGGGAGGGGGTCCAGTGATGTAGTCGCGACGTGAAGTGTTTTTGATCCCAGAGCGGGGGCTCCAACTCAGGCCTGCAAAGTGTGAGGGGGCCGAGGCATGGTGCGCGTCCTCCTCATCTGATCGCGCTGCTCCCCGCGTCCCCGCCCTCTCCCCCCGGGCCAGGAGCGCACGGCGGGCTACCGGACGGCGCTGCTCGCCTCGCAAGCGCGGCAGGGCGCGGCTCTCTCCCGCCTGCAGGAGGAGCTCTCCGCCGCCCTGCGCGCGGGGACGGACACGGCCCCGGCATGCGAACGCTTCGTGCGCGCGCGGCGCTACGCGGGCGCGGGGTCGGCGAGCGCCGAGGAGCGCGACTTCCCGCTCGCCTTCTCCGTGGTCGTTCACGAGGACCCGGCCGCCGTCGAGCGACTGCTGCGCCTCCTCTACCTGCCGCACAACCGCTACTGCGTTCCACGTGGACGCCAAGGTGCACCAAGGGGCCGTCCATAAATGACGTCACGCACCTGGGGGGGGGGGTCAGACATTTGTGACGATTTGTGACGAGCGAGGGGGGGTGAGAAATGTGACATCACATCAAAATGCGCAACTTTAAAAATAAATATAGACAACACGTTCTACTTAATTAGACTTTTAAATAAATGTTTTCTCCTACAACATCAGAGTGCAGCGCCACATTAAATACGCACTACAATGATAATAGTTAAAGCGATTTGAAGCATGTTTTATTTTCAAAATGGAAATGTTTTTTGGGGGGGGGGCAGAGCTTTGTGACGTCATATTTGAGGGGGGGTCTGACTTTTTGTGACGCCGTGTGACGAGGGGAGGGGGGTCAAAAATCGTCCAAAATCGCGTGACGTCATTTATGGACGGCCAACACGGGCTGCTTCTCCACCGTCTGGAGCGCCTCTCCGGTTCCTTGATACAGCGCTGGGTGGCTCCCGGCGAGAGCTCGCCTCGACCCGCGTCAGCGATGCTGCTGCTGCTGGTGGCGGTGGCGGTGGTGGCTTTTATACCTCCAGCAGTTGAGGGACTCAGGCCGCAAGGCTGCAGTCAGATGCCTTCTATGGCCGTCTCGTCCAGGTGCTGGCTAGGGTGGCCCCTCGGGATAGTGCATAGAAATAGGACGACGTTTCGGGCAATTATTCTTATTCTTCACAGTACACAGGCCAGACAGGGTAGGGTCCGCCCTCGAGTGAAAATTTGACCTCTCTCTTTGTTCGTGAAAGAAGGGCGATTGCCTGAAACGTCACCTATTATTGAATAGTTATTTTCCTTTTAAGGCCACGCACGTGGCGTTGTACTTGACACGGAACGCGATGAGTGTTTATTTGTGCGCCGTGACTGCCGAATGTAGTAGCAGCGCCAAATTGTTCAGGGTGCAAGATGATCTTGTTCGACCAGGTGAGCTAGAGCGGACAGGATGAAGTCTCATTTGTAAGAGGGACCTGGGTATGCATAGGCAGGTGGGTTGGTGGGGAGGTGGGGTGAGCAGGTGGGTTGGTGGGGAGGTGGGTGAGCAGGTGGGTTGGTGGGGAGGTGGGTGAGCAGGTGGGGTGGTGGGGAGGTGGGCGAGAAGGTGCGTTGGTGGGGAGGTGGTTGAGAAGGTGCGTTTGGTGGGGAGGTGGGCGAGAAGGTGCGTTAGTGGGGAGGTGGGCGAGAAGGTGCGTTGGTGGGGAGGTGGGTGAGAAGGTGCGTTGGTGGGGAGGTGGGTGAGCAGGTGAGGTGGTGGGGAGGTGGGTGAGCAGGTGAGTTGGGGGGGAGGTGGGTGAGCAGGTGGGTTGGTGGGGAGGTGGGTGAGCAGGTGGGTTGGTGGGGAGGTGGGCGAGAAGGTGCGTTGGTGGGGAGGTGGGCGAGAAGGTGCGTTGGTGGGGAGGTGGGTGAGCAGGTGAGTTGGTGGGGAGGTGGGTGAGCAGGTGGGTTGGTGGGGAGGGTGGGCGAGAAGGTGCGTTGGTGGGGAGGTGGGCGAGAAGCGTGGGTTGGTGGGTGAGCAGGTGGGTTGGTGGGGAGGTGATGTGAGCAGGTGGGTGGTGGGGAGGTGGGCGAGCAGGTGGGTTGGTGGGTGAGCAGATGGGTTGGTGGGGAGGTGAGTGAGCAGGTGGGTTGGTGGGGAGGTGAGTGAGCAGGTGGGTTGGTGGGGAGGTGGACGAGGTGGGTTGGTGGGGGGGGGATTTTACGGCAAGACGGGAGAAGCCATGGAGCAGGCTGGGAGATGAACGTTAAATATTATTAAGGGGAGAGTGAGCAACTTGGGCCACCACGGCCCAACGCTCATTGGCCGGTAACCGACCAATCGCGGTGCCTGCCGCACGAGTCAGCCAAACCTAAACGACGGCTCGCGCGCTTACATCGCGTGGCGGGGATTGACACCCCGTGCCCCCCCCCCCCGTGGCCCCCTCTCCCCCCCCGTGCCCCCCTCCCGTGCCCCCCTCTCCCCCCCCCGTGCCCCCTCTCCCCCCCCCGTGCCCCCCTCCCGTGCCCCCCTCTCCCCCCCGTGCCCCCCTCCCGTGCCCCCCTCTCCCCCCCCCGTGCCCCCCTCCCGTGCCCCCCTCTCCCCCCCCGTGCCCCCCCCGTGCCCCCCCGTGCCCCCGTGCCCCGTGCCCCGCGGCCAGGCGGAGGAGGCCGTGTACTCGACTGTGGAGGCGCTGTCGCGCTGCCTCCCGGCGCTGCGGGCCGCGCCGCGCCGCGTGCGCGTCACCTACACGGCTTGGAGCCGCGTGGAGGCCGACCCGCGCGTGCATGGAGGCGCTGGACGCCGACCCCACGCCCTGGAAGTATCTCATCAACCTGTGCGGACAGGTGAGGCGTGGGTGGGGAGGGACGAGCGGAGGGGGTGGGGGCAAGGGGAGAAGGGGGTGAGGAGGATGGTTAGTACGGGTAAGGGGCCGTCCATAAATGACGTCACGCACCTGGGGGGGGGGGGGGGGGTCAGACATTTGTGACGATGTGTGACGAGGGAGGGGGGTGAGAAATGTGACGTCACATAAAAATGCGCAACTTTAAATAAACATAGACAACACGTTCTACTTAATTAAATAGACTTTTTAGTAAATGTTTTCTCCTACAACATCAGAGTGCAGCGGCACATTAAATACACATTACAATGACAATAGTTTAAAGCGATTTGAAGCATGTTTTATATTTTTTTGGGGGGGGAGGGGGCAGAGCTTTGTGACGACATATTTGAGGGGGGGTCTGACTTTTTGTGACGCAGTGTGACAGGGGGGGTGGGGGGGTCAAAAATCGTCCAAAATCGCGTGACGTCATTATGGACAGCCCCTAAAGTGGCACCTGGTTTGGGATTTTCGGAGTAGAGCCGTCGGTTGCAGCTGACTGAGGCTGTCAGAGGCGGAATGGGGGAGACGTGGGGGTGGTGGCTCTGGCTTCGAGACTCGAGGGGGGGGGGGGGGAGTTCAATCCTCACCCAACTCCAACAGCACACAGCAGACACGAACAGGCTCCCAACACTACTGCACAGTGACAACCCGAGGGTCAGAGGCGCACTTTCTCACAGCAGCACAGAGAGAGCGAATGTTTTACACCAGGCACCACCCCTACATAGTCACAGAATCTAGATCTCCAAATTGAATTTTCTCAATGACAGTGCTTCGCTTCACCTCTAGCTCATCAGTACGCCTCCACCCTCGTTCCCACCGCTTCCTCTCCCTCTCTCTACGACGTGCGCCCTCTCAACCCTGGAGCTCGGCCACGGGGCCCGGCCTGACCGCCCCTCGCCCCCTGGGCCCGGACCCTGCTGCCCGACCCCCGTGGCGCTTCAACAAAATTCAGGCGCGGCGATCTCTTTCTCGCGCAACAGCGAACACCGCCGACTCGACACGCTCCGCGTCAACAACAGCATCACGCGTGTGGGTGTGTGTGGCCCGAAGTCGAGAGGTGGAGGGTGTGTGGAGTGGCAGCTGTCCCTGTGCGGCACGAGGTGGCCTCGGCAGTTGGCCTTGCGAACGGGCGTGAGTCTCCTGTCAGTAGGGGGCGATCATTGCTGCTGCTGCTGCGTGCGATCCCGATGGGTGACGACGACGGTGACGCTGCCGTGGGTGATGATGCAGCCGAGGTCACCGTGCCGCCCGCGGGTCGTGTGGGAGTGGAACTCTCCCTCCAACCTCCTGCCTTTTCCCTCCTTCCTCAAGGACCTGCCGCTCAAGACCAACCTGGAGATGGTGCGCGCCCTGCGGGCCCTGCGTTGGCCGCAACTCGCTTGAGAGCGAGCGCGTGCCACCGCAGAAGCAACGGCGCTGGCGCTACCGCCACGTGGAGGGGCTGGTGCGCGGGGCCCCGCGCATGGTGCCCACCAACGTCACCAAGGAGCCCCCCGCCGGCCCCGTCTTTTCGGGCTCGGCGTACTTCGCGGGGACGCGCGCGTTCGTGCGCTTCGCGCTGCGGGCGCCGGCGGCCTTGGCGCTGTCGTCGTGGCTCAGCGACGCATACAGCCCCGACGAGCAGCTGTGGGCCACGCTGCACCGCCTGCCGGGGGCCCCCGGCGGGGTCCCCGCGCACCCCAAGTACGACGTGTCCGACATGAACGCGCTGGCGCGCCTCGTCAAGTGGCGCTACCTGGAGGGCGACGAGTCTATGGGGGCCGCCGCGTACCCCCCGTGCAGGGGCGCCACCGGCGCTCGGTGTGCGTGCTCGGCGCCGGAGACCTGGCGTGGGCGCTGCGCCAGCCGCACCTCTTCGCTAACAAGTTGGACTCCCGCGTCGAGCCCGCGGCCGTGCAGTGCTTGGAGGAGCATGTGCGGGGCACTGCCATCCGGCAACGGGAGCTCGACTAGAGCTCGACTAGAGCTCGACTATTCTATTACCAGGTGAGGCCCACTGAGCTATCGGCTCGGTTTCAGAGGCGACCTGGACCCACGTGATGACAGCTCATCGCAGTGGCTGATATCATCACCACACGTGGGAATAATTTATAGTAGGGTCCAAATAGTTTAAGCGTGCTTTGATTGTTAGTGTGGAGGAGAAAGGCAAAACCGGAGGAACCCGGAGAACAATCCACACGACCACTACGCGGAGAGAGAGACCATGCGGATTCCAAATATAGAGGAGTCAGGTGTCGGGATCGAACCCACGACCTCCTGCGCACCCGGCGAGAGAGATCAAATCTCCTCACACTGCTAGGTCGCTGGGCTTCGAAAGAGATCCACGCGTTCACCCCATGTGGTGGTCGTGGTGGCGGTGATGGTGAGATCAACAGAGCCAAATGCGGAGCGTGTGGGACGAGGGACAGGCACGAGCGTTGGTCCGCTCAGCCGTGTGACTGTGGTGATTTTTTATCAGTGTTGTGGCCCGGCAACCACCACCTCGAGCCGTGATGGCCTTAATAGGCGCTCGCTAACAACTCGCCAGACCGCGTGTCGTATGTTTACGTGAGCGAGTGCGCTTACACGTGTTTACAGGTGTGCTTAATGTGAGTCCTATTGGTAGACTCGCCTCCGCCATGGAAACGTGGCTTTGCAAGGTTGTGGACTGGAGATGAGCGCCAGTGACTCTGCTCATTGAGCAGCAGGAGGTCACCGTGGCTTGTGCAGAGATTACGCATTGTGGAGGAGCGGTGGCCCAGTGGTTATCGTACTGCGTCACGAATCCGGCCACCCCAAATTCGAATCCCGTCTACGGCCACCATCGATATCAGGACCGATATCTTGGGCCTACCCTAGTTCTACTCCGCTTTTAAAATCTTACCTGGTGCGGTATTAAACATCAGCACTAGGGAGACAAAGGCGGCCGGGCGTGACGCGCTTCTGACCACACCGGCCCTCATTGTGTGCCCTTCTGGCCATCATAGATGCTCGCTAATAGAACTTGCCCCAACAGCCTGTGTGGGCTACACGGGAATCTTTGGTTTGTCTTCATAAGAGTGACTGATTACGCTGCTATTATCCAGTTAAATAAACTTTCGTAAACACAACCACATATCCACCATGTCCCATCCACATAACCACCTCCTCCATCATCACCTCATCCTAACATCTCCCCAACCACCTCCTTACCACTTCATCAGTTCCACCTCAGTAAAACCGCCTTGTCAACCACCTAATTTCCATCTATGTATAATTATCCCTCTGCTTGTTGACCCAGGAAAGCCTCACCGGGGCTCAGTCCTCTCTCAGGAGGGTCCTGCCACGTTTTAGCAGCAGGGGGACCATGTTGCTGCTGCTGCTGTGTGAAGCCGATCGTGGGGAGCGGTGGCGCAACTGTTAGCACACTGCACGACGAACCCGGATACCCGAGTTCTTTTCCCGCTCACGACCAATACCAGTGACGATGATCTGAACCGGCCCTGCGCCTCCCCTAGGTCGACTCAAACGAGTGCCTGGTGTGGTGTGTAAAAACATCGCCACTAGGGAGACAAAGGCGGCCGGGCGTGGTGTTGGCCACCCACCCCCTTCGTGGTGCCATGCCGGACTATAGCACTTGCCCCAGCAGTGACTTAAGACTACGAGGGGGATATTTGTCTTTGATTCCGATTGAGTGAGCTGCGGGTAAATGCTCAGCATTGGGGATGTAGTGTGGGTTTAGCTGTGGGAAGAAACTGGAGATCCCGGAGGAAATCCACGCAGATAAGAGGGACAAAAAACACCACTCACAGCAAATACAAAATGACACACATAGACGTACAAATATCAGACTATTTATAGTAGAGGAATACGATGAGCTATAAAGCTCGTTTTTCCACAAATGTTTTAGTAGGGGTTGGTCAGAATGTCGCAACAACAAACACAATACAAATATCACTCTTTGCTTCTTGTAGAAAGAAAATAAATTACATAATAACAGAATACACCGTTTCGATTGCAACATAAGCAGCCATCATCAGGTACGAATGAATGAGAAAACAAACACAGCAAACATAGAAAGATAATGCAATACAACACGGAGAGTCGGCTAACACAGCAGTCAACATCCTACCTGGTTGATTCACGTTCTTCCAAGAATGCTAAATTTGAGAGAGAGACAAAACACAGACACGGAGACACAGACAGACAAACAAGTAGAGAGACAACACAGAGACACACAGAGAGGGACACACACGGAGACACACAGAGAGACAACACAGACACACATGGAGGGACACACTTCGGAGACACACCAACAGACACACAGAGAGGGACACAGAGGGACGCACACAGAGACACACCAACAGACACACAGAGACACACAGAGAGGGACACACACGGAGACACACTAACAGACACACAGAGACACACAGAGAGGGGACACACACGGAGACACACTAACAGACACACAGAGACACACAGAGAGGGGACACACACGGAGACACAGAAAGACACACAGAGGGACGCACACAGAGACACAGAGAGGGACACACACGGAGACACACAGAAAGACACACAGAGGGACGCACACAGAAAGACACACAGAGGGACGCACACAGAGACACACCAACAGACACACAGAGAGACAACACAGACACACAGGGAGGGACACACACGGAGACACACCAACAGACACACAGAGACACACAGAGAGGGACACACACGGAGGCACACAGAAAGACACGGCGGGACGCACACAGAGACACAGAGAGGGACACACACGGAGACACACCAACAGACACACAGAGAGACAACACAGAGACACAGAGAGGGACGCACACAGAGACACACCAACAGACACACAGAGAGACAACACAGAGACACAGAGAGGGACGCACACAGAGACACACCAACAGACACACAGAGAGACAACACAGAGACACAGAGAGGGACGCACACAGAGACACACCAACAGACACACAGAGAGACAACACAGAGACAGAGAGGGACGCACACAGAGACACACAGAAAGACAACACCTCTGTGTCGAGGCCTTAAATAGAGAGGGGGGGGGGACAGAGGGGGAGGGGGTCGAAAACAATGAGAGAGTTGCGTGGAAATTCCTGCCCATAGCGGCCGGAGGAGAGACAATCGACTTACAGACAAGTACGGAGAAAGCAAGTTTAGTAAAATTAGGAAGTGTAATGCATGCAACACAGAGAGTCGGTTAGCACACAGTTAATGCATAGCCTGGTTGATTACGTTTCTTCCAAACATTGCTAAATGCGAAGTGTGAAATAAACACGGCAATTCCTCCCCGTAAAGGTGGTTCAAACTAGATTCGAAGCTCCATCTCTCTATTTAAGGCCTCGACACAGGTGTTGTCTTTCTGTGTGTCTGTGTGTGTCCCTTTCTGTGTCTCTGTGTGTCCCTCTCTGTGTGTGTCTCTGTGTGTGTCCCTTTCTGTGTCTCTGTGTGTTCTCTCTCTGTGTGTCTCTGTGTGTGTCCCTCTCTGTGTCCCTCTCTGTGTGTCTCTGTGTGTCCCTCTCTCTGTGTCTCTGTGTGTCCCTCTCTGTGTGTCTGTGTGTGTCCCTTTTTGTGTTTCTGTGTGTTCTCTGTGTGTGTGTCTCTGTGTGTGTCCCTCTCTGTGTCGTCTCTCCGTGTGTCTCTGTGTGTGTCCCTCTCTGTGTGTCTCTGTGTGTGTCCCTCTCTGTGTGTCTCTGTGTGTCCCTCTGTGTCTCTGTGTGTGTCCCTCTCTGTGTGTGTCTCTGTGTGTGTCCCTCTCTGTGTGTCTCTGTGTGTGTCCCTTTCTGTGTCTCTGTGTGTGTCCCACTCTGTGTGTGTCTCTGTGTGTGTCCCTCTCTGTGCATCTCTGTGTGTGTCTCTGTGTCCCTCTCTGTGTCCCTTTCTGTGTGTCTCTGTGTGTGTCCCTCTCTGTGCATCTCTGTGTGTGTCTCTGTGTGTGTCCCTTTCTGTGTCTCTGTGTGTGTCCCACTCTGTGTGTGTCCCTCTCTGTGTGTCTCTCTGTGTGTCCCTCTCTGTGTGTCTCTGTGTGTGTCCCTCTCTGTGTGTCTCTGCGTGTGTCCCTCTCTGTGTGTCTCTGTGTGTTCTCTCTCTGTGTGTGTCCCCTCTCTGTGTGTCTCTGTGTGTCCCTCTCTGTGTGTGTCTCTGTGTGTGTCCCTCTCTGTGTCTCTGTGTGTGTCCCTCTCTGTGTGTGTCCCTCTCTGTGTGTCTCTGTGTGTGTGTCTCTGTGTGTGTCCCTCTCTGTGTCTCTGTGTGTTGTCTCTACTATATGTGTCTGTCTGTGTCTCGTGTCTGTGTTTTGTCTCTCAAATTTAGCATTCTTTGGAAGAACGTTAATCAACCAAGTAGGATGTTGACTGCTGTGTTAGCCGACTGTCTGGGTTGTATTGCATTATCTTTCTAAGTTTGCTATGTTTATTTTCTCCTTCATTCATACCTGATAATGGTTGCTTGTGTTGCAATCGAAACATCGTATTTATTTCTACACGTGACTTTACCGAAAGAACCAAAGAGTAATTCCTGCAGTCACGAAAGCTTCGAATCTAGTTACAATACAAATCACTTTTACAATTTGTACAAATACAACTAAACTATTTTTTAAAATATTACTCGCCTAGGCGCACTGAGCCATTAGCTTATTTTTCAGAAGCGACCTGGCCACAAATGATAGCTCAACAAAGTGGCGTATCACGTGGAAATCACAGCAACAAAATAATCTCGACGCAATATTTCGAAATGTGGAGGGAAAAACTCTGGGATCCGGAGAAAAAATCAGCCCGACCATGGGGAGAACATCCATACTCCAAATAAACAGTACACAGATACACCACACACCCCACACACGTACACGCATGACAAATCCCCCCGATAGCCTGAACACAACAGTGACGTTGCGGTGAGGGCAATGGCGGCTGGGGAGGCACTGGCTCGTGTCAGAGCCAGATTCACACACGGAGGGGGACGTGGCCTCACGGAGGGGGCGTGGCCTCAATGAGGGGGCGTGTCCTCACGGAGGGGGGCGTGTTAGGCACGTCCCCCTCAGTGAGGCAGATGTGATAGCTGCCTCCCCTGGTGCTTTTCATTGCAGTTGCATGACGAGACCAGCGAGCCTAAATATCTTTATACACATACGTGAAATAAGTTACCTGGAGTATGGAAGGCGAGGACATGAAATGAAGGGGTCTACAAACATTACATTGGTTGACATACTGAGATAGTAACAGGCACGCGCTTATTGGCCGCGCTCCATCCAGTTACTGAGCGGTTGCACAATCAGAGGGGAGGCTGAGCTCGCCGCTGCCTCATGTCTCGTCTCTTCCTGTATTTGTAGCGGAGCTCCGCAAATTTGGCGATTTTGACTCTAAAAATGATTGGAATTGTACAGAAATGGCATTTATAATACAGATCAGTGGAAAAAATCTTAATATTTATTTTATTTGATTATTTTTTTTCATAACAGCTACTTTCATTGGAGTATGACAGGTGAGGCTCTGCCTCCTCTGCCTCCCCTGACCGCACGTCCCTGCTTAACACACTGTTGGGGCAAGTGCTGTTAGCGAGCACCTATGAAGTCCGGCACGGTACGTGAGGAGGTGGGTGGCCAGCACAACGCCCGGCCGCCTTTGTCTCCCCAGTTGCGATGTTTACAGATCGCACCAGGTAGTCATTTGAGGCTAAGTCCTACCTAGGGGAAGTTCATGACCGCTTCGGATAATCGTCACTGGTGTTAGCCGCGAGCGAGAATATAACTCGATTCGTGGGGTTTAAAGCGCAGCGCGCTAACCACTACACCACCACTCCCCACACGTATATACACTCGCATACATACACACAACAGCCGCCATTCACCACGGCGTTAGTGCCAGACTAGGTGCGTGGAAGGCTGCCGCTGCTGGCAGCAAGTCACGGGCCAGACCCAGGTGCTATGGGTTGACTGAGATAACTGGCAGATGCAATGTGCCACAAGCACGCACACACACACACGTGTTCTCTGTTGTTGCTGAACTTGCCCCAGCCAGGCGATGCCATCCGTCTGTCAGCGCTACGCACGTGCAGAGCACCGCGCGCGCGTGTGCAGTTGGTCGGGAGTGGTGGCGCAGTGGTTAGC